CCTAGCTGCGGCTTCCCCTGCTGCTGCTGCCACAGCAGCAGCAGCAGCTGCAAAGACCCCGTCAGCGACTGCAGCAAATAGTGAGCCTCAACCGGGTGCTCCCACACGTAGGAGTCCAACGCCTGCAGCAGCAGCAGCAGCAGCAGCAGCAGCAGCAGCAGCAGCAGCAGGAGCAGCAGGCCTTACGTCTCCATATGCCGCTTGCGTTTGCTGCACTTCATAAGCCTCTTTACAAAGAGGCCTCCATCCCGGACCTTCAAAGAAAAAACATTCTCTAAATTTTAATTCAATTTGCATGCATGCATGCATGCATTTGCATGCGTTTGCATGCATGCATGCGTTTGCATGCGTTTGCATGCATGCATGCATGCATTTGCATGCATGCATGCATTTGCATGCAGCAGAGCCTTGGCTTGTGTTTTTCTGGAAATTGTCTTTTTGTAAATGGCATTTTTAATTGTTTTCCGAATTGGCACTTTTGAACTTTCTTTTTATTCTTTTTATTCTCTCTTTCCTTTATTTCTTTTATTTTTTGTATTTCGTTTTTTGAATTTCGAAATTTAAACTCAAATTGGTTGTGAGCGCGCAGCGCTCAGGTGTACGTACACCTGAGCGCACAGGCCTGAGGTGTACGTACACCTGGGAGTTTGTCTAAAAGGGCATTTTCAGATTTAAAATTATTTTAATTCCTTTAGACAATTAGATGCAAATTTAAGTGAAGACGCAACTGAAAGATGTTCAGAAGTATATTTATTTATTTAAAAATGATTTTTTCGTTTATTCCACTTTTCTAAATGTGCATGCGTGCACATTGGAGTGTACGTACACCCGGATAACGTATGTGAAAGGATTTTGTGGTGTATAAATTACTTCTCTTTTCATTTTTTTATTTTATTATTTATTATTATATACTGTTAGATATTATTAAATATTATTAAATACGTGATCACAAATTACCATATTTCATTATATTTTATTATTTACCACTCAAGTATTTTTAAATATTTGCATAAATAGTTATATATTATATATATTCCCCACCAGTATATATTATTATCTATTACATATACCAGCATATATATATTAAATGCTATTAAATATTATTTCATTTAAAAAATACTTTTAGATATTAATATTTACTATTAGCCATTTCAAGAACTATTATTTATAACACATATTATATAAAGACGCAAGTATAATTAAATATTATTAAATACGTGATTACAAATTACCATATTTTATTACATTTTATTATTTACCATTTAAGTATTTTTAGATATTTGCATAAATAGTTATGTATTATATATATTCTCCATCAGTATATATTATTATCTACTACATATACTAGCATATATATATTAAATGCTATTAAATATTATTTCATTTAAAAGATACTTTGAGATATTAATATTTACTGTTAGCCATTTCAAGAACTATTATTTATAACACATATTATACAAAGACGCAAGTATTTAAGTGTGCAAATATGCAACTAATAAACATTTTAAAAATAAAATGTCTTCAAAATTTGATAAAAATGAAAACTTTCGCATTTAATTAAATGCATGCAAAAGTGTGAAATAAAATAGTGCAAGAGATGCAGTGCCTTCCAGTGTACATACACTGGAAGGCACTGCATTTGTGCATTTTATTTTTAGCTGTTTTAATGCCATTAAAAATAAAAAAATAAAAAGTAAAAAATATAATTACAGGTCCAATTATTTTTTAATGTTTATTTATCGGGGATTTATTTGTTCTCCTTTTTAAACCACTTAAAACAAACTCGAAATTATTTATTTAATTAAAACGCAAAATTTCTAAAAATTAAAATATCCAATTATATAAATTAAAATGTATATATAAGTTTGAGTAAAGACAAAAATACACAAATATATAATATATATATTTATGTACAGCCACACACATATGCATGCTATATACAATATGTATATACAATAAATATGATAAATATAATAAATATAATAAATATAATAAATATAATAAATATAATAAATATAATAAATATAGTAAACAAAAACTTGTAAATATTTTTATATATTTGTATATACGCATTTGTACATATGTTTGATTTTACCAAATGCAATGCATGCAAAAGTACCACCTCAAATATAAATGTATTTTTTTTTAATAATATTTTTTCAAGAGTTTGTTTGCATTTATATGTGCAATCTGGAGTAAATACAGATAATAAATAAATATAAAATATATTAATTGGTGGATTTAAAAAGAAAATGAATTAAAAGTGCTTTTCGCTTTGCTGCATGTGCTGCAGTGACAGCTGCTGCTGCTGCTGCTGCTGCTGGAAAACGGATTAAAAATGTTTTTTTTTCGAATTAAAAAGGAAATAAAGATCAATTTTAATTAATTTGAATTAATTTTATTCTTTTTTTGTTCTTTTACCCGCCAGAAAACGAAATTCGCATTTATCTGAAGGTATGTGGGGTTTCGGGACGGGTCGCGAGTCCTCGCCGACGATGTGGACCTGAGGTGTACATACACCTGGAAATGCGCGAATGCTGGTTAAAAAGAGTTTCTTTTGAACTTCAAATCTCAAAAATAAACATTTTAAGATAAATAAAAACAAAAATAAACAATTAAATGCGAAAAAACGAAACGAAAGACTTCAGCAGCCCAGGTGTACATACACCGCGGCGTACATACACCTCGGGGAATGCTGGGGTGTACGTACACCTCAGGAAGTGTTTTTTCTTTTTTCTTCAGCAGAAAATTTGCATTTATTTCTTCCCGAGTTTCTTTTTCACTGCTAGACGGAAATAAATGACTTTAAATAAAAAGAAAATAAATAAATAAACAAATAAATAAATAAATAAATAAATAAATAAATAAATAAATAAAAATAAAAGCTGCAACAAAAAAAAGAATTCGCCTTTTCTCCTCACCTCCGCCAGCCGGCTGTTGGCGAGCTGGGCAACAGCAGCAAGAGAGTTTGCTGCTGCTTCCAGCGCCAGCCCATCAGCCTTCCGCTGCTGCTGCTGCTGCAGCTGCTGCTGCTGCTGCTGCTGCTGCTGCTGCTGCGGGTCTTTGGGGTGTACAGACACCTGACTCGCCAGGCTGTTCACCGAAGCAGCCAAACGGGTCGAAGGAATTATGTTGCCCAGCGACCCCTGGCTGTTCTGCATCCTCCTAAACCCTAAACCCTAAACCCTAAACCCTAAACCCTAAACCCTAAACCCTAGGGGGCTTGCTGCGCCAAAGAAGTCCACAGAGTCGCCACCGCGAAGACACAAAGACAAGCAAACACAGCAAGACACAGCAGCAGACAAGCAGCAAGAGCCAAAGGCATAAAGGCGCAGCAAAAGGTGCAGCAAAGCTGCAGCAAAGGTGCAGCAAAGCTGCAGCAAAGGTGCAGCAAAAGGTGCAGCAAAGCTGCAGCAGGAGCTGCAGCAAAAGGGGAAGTTGAAGAGAGTTAGAAGCAAAATTTTCTTATTAAATTTCTGTTGTTTTACCTCTTTTTACTTTAAACCTTTTTAGGGGTTTTCTCGAGAAGTCCCGAGATTTGAGGGTCTTCTTTTTCCTATTGACGTTTGATCACGACGACGACGACGACGACGACGACGATAATAAGGACAACAACGACGACGTGCTGCAGCTTCGAATTTTGCTGCTACTGCTGCTGCAGCTATTGAGGCTAGTGAAAAGCGAGGCAGCAGCTGAGGTGTGCGTACACCTGGAGGTGTACGTACACCGCAGGGATCTGGCGGCGCCAGTTAGCTCTACGAGTCGTCTTTTTTGGCTCAAATTGAATTAAATAAATAAATAAAAGTAAATTAAATTAAATTAAATTAAATTAAATTCAAATAAGCCTTTTTTCCCGCTATTTTTTGCCCTGGCGAGGCTGAAACGCTGCACACGTGCTGGGCTGTCCGCCGAGCTGGATTCTAAGCCTCTCTTTGCGGAAATTTGCGTTTTAATTTCATTTCTTTTTATTTTATTTCATTTTATTTATTTTAGTTTTCGTTTTTGTTCTTTTAAACGAAAATTCGCTCAAATTTGCCCAACAAAAGCCCCTGCACTCCCGCGGCTGCGCAGGGCTGCAGCAGCAGCAGGGCTGCAGCAGCAGCAGCAGCAGCAGCAGCAGCGGGGCTGCTGATTCGGCAAAGTGGGAAATTAGAAGAATTTAAATTCAAAATTTAATTTATATTTCAATTTAATCTTTTCAATTAATTAATTTTATCTTTTAATTCAAAAAAATCGAGCATAAACCGCTGATTTCGGGTTTAGGGTCTAGGCTTTTGCCTGCCAAACCCTAAACCCTAAACCCTAAACCCTAAACCCTCGAAGCACGGAGACGCCGCGGGAGCGCACCCCCCGAAAACCCTAAACCCTAAACCCTAAACCCTAGGCCCTAAAAGCGTAGACTCAGTGCAAAAAGAGGCCACCGCGAACCCCAAACCCCAAACCCTAAACCCTAAACCCTAAACCCTAAACCCTTCTAAGAATCCGCAGCTGCGGAAGCTGCTTGTTCGCGCTGTACATACACCTCAGCAAAAGGCCAACTTAGAAGCAAAATGAAACTAAAATAAAATAAAATAAAATAATAATAAAATAAAAATGAAATAAAATTAAAATTAAAAAAAATAAAATAAAAATGCAAATAAACTGAAAAATAAATTAATTGAAATTCAAGTGTTCCAATTGAGCTGTACAGACACCCCAATTTGGCCCTCAACCGGAGCTGCCTTCGTGCTGTAGCAGCTGCAGCAGCAGTAGCAGCTGCAGCAGCAGCAGCAGCAGCTGCTGCAGCAGCAGCAGCAGCTGCAGCAGCAGCAGCTGCAGCAGCTGCAGCAGCAGCAGCAGCAGCAGTGTTGCTGCTGTTATTTGCTGGGGATGCAGCAAAGCCTGGGGCCTGCCCCTCCCCACAGTTGGCACAAGCAGCAGCAGCTAGCTGCTGCGCTAGCTGAAGCACCAAGCTGTTGCTGCTGCTGCTGCTGCTGCTGCTGCTGCTGTTGCTGCTGCTGCTGCTGTTGCTGCTGTTGCTGCTGTTGCTGCTAGCAGCTAGCTGGCTCATCAACAGCAACCTTTCTGGCCGCCAAGCTAGCTGGCCAGCTAGCTAGCTAGCTAGCCAACTAGCTAGCCAGCCAGCTAGCCAACTAGCTAGCCAGCTAGCCAACTAGCTAGCCTGCCAGCTAGCTCGCTAGCTGGCCACGTGGCTCGCCATTTAGCTCTCCAGCAAATCACCTAGCTAGCTAGCTAGCTAGCTAGCCACCCATCTAGCTAGAGATGCGGCTAGCTAGCCAGCTAGCTAGCCAGAGAGCCACCTAGCTAGCTAGCCAGATAGCTAGCTGGCTAGCCAACTGCCTAGCCAGACAGCTAGCTAGCTACCCAGCTAGCTACAACTAGCTAGCCAGCCAGCTAGCTAGCTAGCTAGCTAGCTAGCTAGCTATGCAGGAGGCTTTGGGTAAGGCTGGTGCAGCAGCAGCCGTGTGCCTTTGGGGCTTTTGTCTTTGATTTCATTTGCTGCTGCAATTTTAAATTCATTTAAAATTGAAAAAAAAGAAAACACTTCCCACACGCCGCCCCACTTGCTGCTGCTGCTGCTGCTGCTGCTGCTGCTGCTGCTGCTGCTGCTGCTGCTGCTGCTGCGGCGCTTCGGGGGGGCCGGCGCAGCAAGAAGCGGCACGCCGTCAATTAGAGGGAGAGGCACAAGCCCGAAAGTGTGGCTGTCATCTGCTGCTGCTGCTGCTGCTGCTGCTGCTCTGCTGCTGCTGCTGCTGCTGCTGCTGCTGCTGCTGCTGCTGCTGCTGTGTTGATTTGCGGGCGTCCTTTTGTCTTCAGGCTTCGCTGCTTCTTTGTGTGCTGCAGCACCTTTTGCTTCAGCAGCAGCAGAGGGAGCTGCTGCTGCTGCTGCTGTTGCTGCTGCTGCTGCTGCTGCTGCTGATGGGTTTGTGTTTGGGGCCACAATGCTTTCTACCCAGCAGCGGCCCTGCGGCACCCGCAGCAGCAGGAACCAGTCAGTTTGCTGCTGCTGCTGCAGCTGCTGCTGCTGCTGCAGCTGCTGCTTCCGCTGCTGCTGCTGCTGCAGCTGCTGCTGCAGCTCAAATATGTGCTGCTGGATGATGGCCTGCTGCTCTCTGTGTTCCTCCTCCCTCCGCTGCAAGCACTGCACCCACGCATCCCCTTGCTGCTGCTGCTGCTGCTGCTGCAGCAGCTGCTGCTGCTGCTGCTGCTGCAGGCGTTTAGTGCGCTCCCTTTGCCACTGGATTTCTGTGTCTCTCAGCAGCCGCAGCAGCAGCAGCAGCAAGTCTTCGGCGGTGACAAACCTAGCCTCAATGCTTGGGTGCTGCAGCTGCTGCAGCAGCACCTCCCGCCCCTCCTCTCCCTGCTGCTGCTGCTGCTGCTGCTGCTGCTGCTGCCAGGGGATCGCCAAGACGTCCCCAGGAACCCCCACGACCTGCGCATACACCCGAAGTCCTGCTGCTGTGGGGTGCAGCAGCCGCACGAAAGATCCCCTGTGGATTTCTTTGGCAGACAAAGCTGTCAAAATAAAAGATCCTTCACTTGCTGCTGCTGCTGCTGCTGCTGCTGCTGCTGCTGCTGGCTCGGCTGCTGCTGCTGCTGCTGGGGGTGCCGCCGCAGCAGCGGCAGCAACGGAAAAGCGCTCTGCAGCGGCCTGCGGCCGCACCCCCACGCCGCGCTGCTGCTGCTGCTGCTGCTGCTGCTGCTGCTGCTGCTGCGTGAGAGCAGCAGCAGGAACGTCGGTCCTGTCGAGAGCAGCAACGCGGTCCCGCAGCAGCAGCAGCGGGGGAGTGCACCAGGCAGCAGCTTTGGCGAGCCGCAGCAGCTTGCTGCAGCCGAGCCACAAGAAAGACAGCAGCAGGTCCAGCCGCTGCTGCTGCTGCTGCTGCAGCATTGCACCAGCGGGGGGCCCCCGAGGCCCTGGGGGCCCCCAAATGCCACAATGGGTCTAAATTTGTTTATAATTATAATTAAAATTAAATTAAATTAAATTAAATTAAATTAAAATTTATAATTGCGAGAACTTGCAAGGGGGAGAAGCCGGATCGGGGCCCCGCTGCATACCGCTGCTGCTGCTGCAGCTGCTGCTGCTGCTGCTGCTGCTGCTGCTGCTGCTGCCTTCACAAACTTCGAATAAGGGATAGGTGAGGGCAAATAACCCGCAGAAAAAGTGACTGGTGCAGCTCGAAATTCAGCAGCAGCAGCAGCAGCAGCAGCAACACAGCCAGCTGCAGCAGCAGCAGCAGCAGGGCCTCAGCGGGGCTTTCTGTGGGGCGGGCGGATCTGTGCTTCTGCAATTTAAGGTGTATGTACACCTGGGAGAGCAGCAAATTTGAAGTTTTATATTTTAGCCTTGCGCGCTTGTCAACTGGAGATACACCGCGGGCAGTTGTGCTGCTGCTGCTGCTGCTGTTGCTGCTGCTGCTGCAGCAAGGCCTCGAGCAGCAGCGCTGCTGCGGCCTTCGTCCATTCGGCAGCACAGAGAAGCGCCTGCTGCACGCAGCAGCCTCAATTAGAGCAGCAGCAGCAGCAGTGACAGCTGCAGCAACAGTGACAGCAGCAGCAGCTGCAGCAGCAGCAGCAACACCTGATGCGATCGCAGCAGCAACAGCAGCAAATGATCAAACTGGCTGCCAGGGCTTCTCTCAGCAGCTTTCTCTCTCTTCCTTAGAGCTTCCCACCCAAGATCTGCGGGATTTGCTGCAGCAGCAGCAGCAGCAGCAGCAGCAGCAACGACGCAGTTTCTAGCAGCAGTAGCAGCAGCAGCGACAGCAGCAGGGAACAATGGTGACTGCAGCAGCAAATCTGGCGCTCGTGCCGCCTCGCGCGGGCCAGCTAGAAAGGGCCCGCGCTGCTGCCAACCGCAGCAGCAGCAGCAGCAGCAGCAGCAGCAGCAGCAGCAGCAGCAAGGTGTCGGCGTACACGGAGCAGCTCTCTGGCTGCCTCACTGCTGCTGCTCCTGCCTTTTGCTGCAGCAGCAAAATCATTTGCTGCTCCATGGGGCCCCACATCTGCGTATACACCACAGCTGCTGCTGAGCTGCTGTATACCTGCAAGGGCCACAAGAGCAGAGTAAACCCTAAACCCTAAACCCTAAACCCTAAACCCTAATGGCTGCGCAGGTCCCTGGCGAGTCAACAGAACGCTGCAGCAGCAGCAGCAGCTTTGCTGCAGTGCTTGTGTCATGCTGCAGCGGCGCGTGCCAAACCCTGCCGTAACTCGTGCTGCTGCTGTTGCTGCTGCTGCTGCTGCTGCTGCTGCTGCTGCTGCTGCTGCTGCTGCTGCAGGTGATTGGGATGGTGAGCATCCCCCCGAAGCTGTACCGCGCGCTGCCGCCGATGCTGCTGTCGTTTGCTGTTGATGGCAGCATTTGCTGCTGGGAGTTGCACAGCAGCCACTTCTTTTATGACAAACTCGAGCAGCAGCAGCAGCAGCAGCAGCAGCAGCAGCAGCAGCAGCAGCAGGAGGGCACGTCTCCCAACTGCCTGCGCACGATGAAGGTGGAAGGCGCCATCTTGGGCACTGCTGCTGCATGCAGGAGCCGCGAGGTCGTGCTGCTGCTGCTGCTGCCAGCGCAGCAGCAGCAGCAGCAGCAGGGCAGCGGAAGGAAAGGAGCAGCAGCAGCAGCAGCAGCAGCAGCAGCAGAAGCAGACAGTTGCTGCTACGCGGTGCGGGTGCTGCCATTTGAGGCTTTTCTGCCTTCTGTAGACGGCCCCAGAGGAGCAGCAGCAGCAGCAGCAGCAGCAGCAGCGCAGCAGCAGCAGCAGCAGATGCTGCTGCAGGGCGAGGACTTGTTCACTTTCAAAGAGCCCCCGTCAGCATTTGCTGCTTCGCCGACAGCCACCACGATTGCTGTTGCATGCGGGAAGACGCTGCTGCTGTACAAGCGCCAGCAGCAGCAGCAGCAGCAGCAGCAGCAGCAGCAGCAGCAGCAGCAGCAGGTGCTGCGGCTGCTGCACGTGGACCTGCTGGTGCAGGTGTCCATACACCCGGAGGAGCTGTTCGTTGCTGCTGGCGACGACCAGGGCCGCATTGTGCTGTTCTACACAGCCCAGCAGCAGCAGCAGCAGCAGCAGCAGCAGCAGCAGCAGCAGCAGCAGCAGCAGCTGCGGACGGCGGTGCTGCACTGGCACTCGCACGCAGTGAACTGCCTAGGGTTTAGCTGCGATGGTTTGCTGCTGCTGTCAGCAGCAGAAGAGGGGGTTTTGGTTTTGTGGCTGCTGCAGCAAGGGTTTAGGAAGCAGTTTTTGCCGCGGCTGGGGGCCCCCGTGCTGCAGCTGTCGCAGGCCTGGACGGAGCTGCTGGCGCAGCAGCAGCAGCAGCAGCAGCAGCAGCAGCAGCAGCAGCAGCAGCTGGAGCTGCTGGCCCTCGCCTGCGCAGACAACAGCGTCCGAGTCATTCAGGGGGGGACTCTTGCTGCTGCTGCTGCTGTCAAGGGGGTGGCGATGCCGCTGGCGGCCTTCAAGCTGGACCTTGCTGCTGCTGCTGCTGCTGCTGCTGCTGCCAAAGCAGCAGCAGCAGCAGCGCCGGCCGCTGCTGCAGCAGCGAAGGCCCCAGACGCAGACGCACACGCTGCACTCCACAGGAAGCAGCAGCAGCTGCTGCTGCAGCAGCGGCTCATCAGCAGCCGCAGCAGCAGCAGCAGACCCGTCCGCATCAGCCTGCGGCCCTTCACCGTCAGCAGCAGCAGCAGCAGCAGCAGCAGCAGCAGCAGGGACATGCTGCTGGTGTGCAGCAGCGAGTCGCAGCTGCAGTGTCTAGACACCGAAAGCGGCCAGGAGGAGTTCCTGCTGCTGCTGCAGCAGCGTACATACACCTCAAGGGCGGATGAGGCTTTTGGCTGCACTTGGGCTTTGGAAGCAGCAGCAGCAGACTGCTGCAGCAGCAGCATTGCGGTGCTGCAGGCCAGAGACACGCAGCAGCAAGCAGCAGCAGCAGCAGCAGCAGGCCTCTTCCCCGGAGACGCCAGCAGCAGCAGCGTCTGCAGCTGCTCCTGCTGCAGCAGCAAACCTCCCAGGGTCAGACCGGCAACCTGCTGCGCCTGCAGCAGCAGCAGCAGCAGCAGCTCCTGCAGCAGCAGCAGCAGCTCCTGCTGCAGCAGCAGCAGCAGCTCCTGCTGCAGCTACTACAGAGGGGAGCAGCCGCTGGAGCCGCAGCAGCAGAGCAGCGGCCGCAGCTACTCCCTCTCCTTCTATGTTTGGGTCGAGTCCAGCAGCAGCAGCAGCAGCAGCAGCAGCAGCAGCAGCAGCAGCAGCAGCAGCGACGAAGAAGACGAGGACCCGCAGCAGCAGCAGCAGCAGCAGCAGCAGCAGCAGCAGCTGGGGTGGCGGCCCGAAGCCCGCGGCAGTTTTGTTCTTTTAAATGAAGTGCAAGAGCCTCACCTTCACGACGTCACTGCCCTTGAGCCCCACCCCCTCGTAAACCCTAAACCCTAAACCCTAAACCCTAAACCCTAAACCCTAGCTCTCCCAGGCTGCGCGCTGGCCCGCAGGGCTAAACCCTAGCTCGCGAAACCCTAAGCCATATGGCCAGCCTCTCCTTTTTGCGAGGGTTTAGGGTTTGGGGTTTAGGGTTTGGGGTCGTGGTTCAAGGTTTAGGGTTTAGGGTTTAGGGTTTAGGGTTTAGGGTTTAGGGTTTAGGGTTTGTTTGTTCAGGAGCCCTGCAGCTTTTTGACAGCTTCAATAGACTCTCGCTTCAAGATATGGCGGCGGGTGGCAGCTCCGGGAGGAGCAGCAGCAGCAGCAAGTTCTGCTGCTGCTGCTGCTGCTGCTGCTAGCTACTCTGCTTTTGTTTGTTTAGTGGAGTTTAGCTGCTGCAGCTTGCCAGTTTACTGCTGCTGCTTCTCTGCTGACGGCTCGCTGCTTGCTGCTGCTCACGGGGGTTTTGTGTCTCTTTGGGCTGCTGCTGAGGGCCCCCGTTTGCTGCAGACCCTCCCCGTTGCTGCTGCTGTCCTCAGCAGCAGCAGCAGCAGCAGCAGCAGCAGCAGCAGCAGCAGCAGCGACAGCGGCGGCGACGCAGCAGACCCCGAACCCGCAGCAGCAGCAGCAGCAGCAGCAGCAGCAGCAGCAGCAAAGGATTGCATGCTGCTGCAGAGGCGCTGCGAGTCTGTGTTTATAATAGAGTCTTCTTTTGGCATCTTTTTGCTGCAGCAAACAGCAGCAGCTTTGCTGCTGCTGGACTTGCAGCAGCTGGCAGTTGTGTGGCAGCAAACTTTCGAAGGTAAGAATTAATTGAAAACAATTTCAAGTCTTTTTCAAAACAATCCAAAACAATTCAGTATTTCACTACACTAGGGTTTAGGGTTTAGGGTTTAGGGTTTAGGGTTTAGGGTTTAGGGTTTGTGTGCAGGCAAGGTGGACTTGGTGGCTGTTGACCGCGCGCGGGACTTCGGCGTTCGCTTTGTTGCTGCTGTTGCTGCTGAAGGCTGCCACTGGCTGCACTCTTTCCTGCTGCAGCCCAGCAGCAGCAGCAGCAGCAGCAGCAGCAGCAGCAGCAGCAGCAGCAGCGAAGAGGCGCTGCCGGATTTGGTTGAAGACACTGGGGTGTACGTACACCACGAGTTCGTGCAGTGCAGGGATCTCGACGACTCCATTCTCGCCTGCTGCTTCCTGCAGCAGCAGCAGCAGCAGCAGCAGCTGCAGCAGCAGCAGCAGCAGCAGCAGCAGCGGGAAAAGAGTGTTTTGGTTTTGCTGACTGCTGCCTTTAGCTTAGAACGCATGACATTTGTATTTGACGACAAGGGACTCTTGCCGCCTCCCTCACCTGCTGCTGCTGCAGCAGCAGCAGCAGCAGCAGCAGCAGCAGCAGCAGCAGCACGCAGCGGCAAGCGCTCCTCAAAAAGAGTTTTGCAGCGGCTGCTGGAGCTTGAAGCAGAAGATGAGGACACCACGGTGCGAGTTGTTGTTGCTGCTGCTGCTGCTGTTATAGTTGCTGCTGCTGCTGCTAGTTGCTGCTACTGTTGCTGCTGCAGCGGCTAGTTGCTGCTACTGTTGCTGCTGCTGCTGCTAGTTGCTGCTACTGTTGCTGCTGCTGTTGCTGCTGCTGCTGCTGCTGCTGCTGCAGCAAGCGTGTTCCAAGTTTTGAGTTTCGAATTTCTGCGTTTCCTTTTTGCTGCAGGTGGTGCCTGCTGCTGCTGTTGCCGACAAGTTGCTTTCTGTCTCGTTTTCTGCTGCAGCAGCAGCAGCAGCAGCAGCAGGGGCTTCTGAATCTGAGGATGATGACAGCAGCAGCAGCAGCGCTGCTGCTGCTCTCAATGCAGTTCTCAGGAAGAAGAAAACAACACCGCGCACAGACAAGAGGCTGGCGCTTACAGGTAGGGTTTAGGGTTTAGGGTTTAGGGTTTAGGGTTTAGGGTTTAGGGTTTAGGGTTTGGGGCTTAGGGTTTGGGCAAGCAGTTGCTTGGGGGGCTGGGGTTTGGCTTCAGGGCACAGGCTCCTGCGTGCGTGTGCTGCTGCAGCAGCGGAAGCAGCAGCGGCACCTGCAGCAGCAGCAGCAGCAGCAGCAGCAGCAGCAGCAAATGAGGGTTTGGTGACTGTGCAGCCGAAAGGCCCGAAGACAAAAGCACTCAAGGCTTTGGCAGCAGCACTCGCAAACCCGAGACGAGTGGCAGAAAGCAGAGCCTCTTAAGCTGCTGCTGCAGCTGCTGCTGCAGCAGCTGCTGCTGCTGCTGCTGTTCTTTCCGCAGCAGCAGCAGCGGCAGAAGCTGCTGCCAGAGGAGGGGCTGCATTTGGCCCGTAGCGAGAGCTAGCAATCAACTCAATACTACTCAAGTGGCTAGCTAGCTAGTCAGCTAGCTAGCTAGCTAGCCAGCTAGCTAGCTACTCAGCTAGCTGCTGAGCTAGCTAGCTACTGAGCTGGCTAGTTTCTAAGCTAGCTAGCCGCTGAGCTAGCTAGCCAGCCACTGAGCTGGCTAGCTGGCCAAATAGCTAGCTAGCCAAGCAGCTAGCTAGCCAAATAGCCAGCTAGCTAAATGGCTAGCGAGCTATCTAGCCAAACAGCTAGCTAGCTAGCTACTCAGCTAGCTAGCTAGCTAGCCGCGAAGGGAGCCTCTGGCACGGCTGTAGATACACCTGAGGAACTTGCTGCCAGCAGCAGCTTCATTTATTCATTTTAATTTATTTATTTAAATAATTTATTCATTTAAATCAATTTATTCATTTAAATTAAATTAATTCAACAAATCAGCAAAAAGCAACTAAGACTCGTTTCCAGTTCTCCTGGCTGCCCACAAATCCAAATCTAGTTGCAGCCAACTGGCCGCTGCTGGCTAGCTAGCCAGCTAGCTAGCTAGCTACGTAGCTAGCTAGCTTGCGCACGGCTAGCTGGCAAGCCAGCTGGCTAGCTATCTAGCTATGTAGCTAGCTAGCTCCGCGGCCGACTGGCTGGTGTGCCGGCTAGTGGCTAGCTAGCTAGCGGCTAGCTAGCTAGCGGCTGGCGTGCCAGCTAGCTAGCTAGCCACCTAGAGGTCTAGCCAGCTAGCTAGCCACATAGCTAGGTAGCTAGCGACATAGCCAGCTAGCCAGATGGCTAGCTAGCTAGCCAGTTAGGCAGCTAGCTAGCTAGCTAGCTAGCTAGCTAACTAGCTAGCTAGCTAGCGCGTAGCCTTCTGCGCCCCAGAGCCATTGCGCTTTCCTTGCAGTTTAGAACAGCCAAAAAGAAGAGGCAAAGACTGGCGGGGCCCACCTTAGCTAGCCATTTTAGCTAGCTAGCTGGTCCTCACAGCTAGCTAGCTAGCCAGCTAGCTAGCTAGCTAGCTAGGTGGCCACCCCCGCCAGCTAGCTAGCCACCTAAGCTAGCTAGCTGCTTGCTAGCTACCCAGCTCGCCACGCGCTGGCTAGCTAGCTAGCGAACAGCTAGCCAGGCAATTTGCCAGCTACACAACGCGCAGCCAGCCAACCAGCCGGCAGGGAGCGCCAGCTAGCTAGCCAGCTGGCTAGCTAGCCAGCTGGCTGGCTAGCTGGCTAGCTGGCGAGCTAGCTGGCTGGCTAGCTGGCACTCCGCTAGCGCCTTTCTCGCCAGCTAGCTCCTAGCTATTCACCCACCCACTCAACCACCCACACAGCTAGCTAGCTAGCTAGCTAGCTAGCTAGCTAGCTAGCCACCCACCCAACCAGCTAGCTAGCTAGCTAGCTAGCCACCCACCCATCCACCAGCCCACCCACCCAGCTCGCCAGCTAGCCACCCAGCCAGCCAGCCAGCCAGCCAGCCAGCTAGCTAGCTAGCTAGCCAGCTAGCTACTCGGCGATGGCCGGGGACTTCTTGAGTCCGCAGATGAGAGCAGCAATTGAAGAAGCAGGAAAGAGTCCATCTTCTGTTGCAATGAAGTCCACAAACTGAGCTGGAGTTAAGTCGTAGGCGGGGCTGACCACAGCCACGGGGAGGCCCAGGTGGCAGCAGCAGCAGCGCGCAGCAGCAGCAGCAGCAGCAGCAGCAGCAGCAGCAGCAGCGCCCGGCGCCGCCGCGCAGCTCCCCGGCCCCGCCGCCGCAGCCAAACTCGCCGAAGACGAGTGCAGCAGGCCCTGCTGCTGCGAAGCCCACGAACTCCCGCTGCTGCTGCTGCTGCTGCTGCTGCTGCTGCTGCTGCTGCTGTGGGAGGAGGAAGAGCGGCCGGGGTGGCCGTGCCCGTCAGCAGCAGCAGGCACCCCGCCGCCCCCGCCGCCGCTGCTGCTGCTGCTGCTGCTGCTGCTGCTGCAGCTGCTGCTGCTGTTCCAGGCTGCTGCGGGGTCCTGCAGCTCGTTGAAAGCACAAGAGTCGAGAACAACTCTGTCGGACATTTTGTAAGTTTCAAGAACCACCAAGACAGGCTTTGCATGCATTTTTGCTGCTGCTGCTGCTGCTGCTGCTCCTGCGCTGTTCACCACGCTCCCGTTCGCCAGCAGCGCGCAGCAGCCCAGCAGCACTTTCGTTGCTTCTTGAATGTGCAGCGAAAGACCTGCACACCGCCAGCAGCAGCAGCAGCAGCAGCAGCAGCAGCAGCAGCAGCAGCAGCAGCAGCAGCAGCAG